CTCTCCTAAAAGAGTCACAATCTACAGCTGACCTTATCACTCTATTCCTTCCCTAAGCTTGATAGAGAGTCATAAAGACAATACTCTCATATGCAAGTGGAAACAGAGAAGATGCATGTACAAAGATGCATAAGAAGCATGACTAAAATATAACATAATCTGAGTGTAACCACTGTGATGTGCATATGTAGGATCCATTGAATAGGGAATATACTTGATAGCCTGACCTCTCTCACACATGGGACTCCTACTGACAAGTATGGCATATATGGGATCTTATCCATCTTTTACAATATTTACTTTCTATTGCTTAGCTATTGTGTCACATGACTCCTTTTTGTACCTGTGAGTAGTACCAAGCAGAGACATGTATGGATGGATAGGCATGGAAGCAATAGCACAAGTAACAAACAAACATCTAACTGGTAATTGGTTATAATTTTTGGCTGACTATACTACATATTATAACTCAGGTAGGACTACTGTACTACCTTGCCAGCTCATAAATAATATACAATCATGTAGTTGTTCATGTTCTATATCATGTGATAGATCATATTGCCATACCACCCACCTTTGATGCACAGATAATCTATTACACCATACAGGATTTTACCAGAATAATTTTTTTTTAAAAATAGAGGGAGTGGTGATGATGGGGTGCTGTTCACATGGTCTGTGCACATTTCCTAATATAGTAATTAATGAAAATATAGCCAAAAATGAAAAAAAATTCACATGTTGTAAATGGTTGTTGATAATATTAATGTACTATTTACTTGGTCTGTGCATGTTTCCAAATATGGTAATTAGTAAAAATATAGCCAGAAAATCAGAGAGAAAAAAGAGAAAAATATGTGATTATAGTTTCACCCCATATGCATTATATAGTTGTTTATGTTGTGTATCATATGATATGACATGTGACACAATCATGTGATATATAATAATCAGGTGATGTCATCATGTGATACAGTCATGTGATAGGACATATGATATAATCATGTGATGGATCATATGATCTGGTCATGTGATGTAGTCATGTGATGGATCATATGATCTGGTCATGTAATATAACCATGTGATGCAGTCATGTGATCTCTTTTTCTGCACTTATAACATCACTACTGCTATTTTTTGCTGTTCATTATCCTTGTTGTTATTCCTCTGTAGCTGTTGTAATATGGTGTAATGAGGTCTGGCCACAGAAATTAATAAGGTAATTGATGAAAATAGAGCTAAAAAGTCACAAAAGAAATAAAATAAAATAATAGAGTATTGTTGATGGTCTGTGCACATTTCCTGATAAGAAATTATATCTAGAAAATTAGAAGAAAAAGAGAGAAATAATGGACTGTTGTTGACAATATTGGAATATTGTATACATGGTCTGTGCACATTTCCTAAAATGGTAATTAATACAAATATTGCTAGAAAAATTGGAAAAAATATTCACATGATATAAATAGTTGTTGATAATGTTGATGTACTATTTACTTGGTCTGTGCATATTTCCAAATATGGTAGTGAATAAAAATATAGGCAGAAAATGAGAAGAAAAAAACACAAAATAATAGACTATTGTTAGCAATATTTAGATACTGTATACATGGTCTGTGAATATTTCCTAATATGGTAAATGATACAAATATAGCTAGAAAAACAGAAAAGAAAATAGAAAAAGAATAGACATACCATCACAACTGAATGCAGAATGATACACCATGCAGATCAACACATACATAGAGCAGACTCTCAAATGTTACTGTGGTACTACAGTGACATCAATTCTGAGGTTGAAATTTGACTCATTGTGAGAACTTGGTGAGGACTCAGCAGCCTCAGCCATCACATCGCTTTGAAATTTTGACAGTCTGCCCTGTGCATGTGTTGGTCTAGTGTGGCTTATCATTCTGCATTCAGCTGTAACTGTTATTGACAATGTTGGTGTATAGTGCACATGGTCTGTGCATATTTCCAAATAAGGTGATTTGTGCAAATATAGCCAGAAAATTACAATAAAATATAAGAAACATTAAAGAAAATATTAGATGGTAGTCACTATTGGTTATGATGTTGCAGAGCTAAAATCAGAGTAAATAAGGCAAGATTACTATTTTAAATGAAAGTCATTTAGAAAATGTGGTAAAAATGAGAAAAAATAGGACTTGTTGTTGGGTACTGTTGTATATCTAAAAAAGAAAATTCAAGTATTTGTAATAGAGAGATCAGAATTCTAAGAGATTCTAACCATTCCTGCAGAAATAGGTGGGGCACAGTAAAGTACTGGTAGTCAGCATGTCATTATGGTCAACAGATATGAATACATCATATCATATTATACATATTTATAACTTCAGACACTGACAATCCTCAGAGCTCTCTGCAGTGCTCAGAAATATACCTCTATAAAAGTGAAAAGAAAAACAAGCTGGCATATTCAATCTGACAGTTCCTGAAGTCTCTCTAGTCTTCAGGAACATACTTCAGTGAAGAAATATGGCTTACACATCAGTAATAATTCAGTAAAGTAAGGCTAGTCTATTATAGATAGTTATTAATATACACTCAACATAAAAGCAGTCAGTAACAACCTTTATTATCTGATAGAGCAGAATTTAGAGGCTATAACTATATAACAAATAGCTTATTACCAATAGATAGAGCTGAATGCAATATATAATCTGGTTTTTCTATAATAAAAATACAATATAAAATAAAAGGGCAAGTTTAGGACCAAAATAATCTTTATCATAAATTTTGTAGAAAAGTTGAATCCAGAAGATAAAAGTTTGAATGGTCAGAAATTTTTGAAGTTTTTTTTTTTGAAACTAGGACCCCAGATACTCCATGACACTGGCAGGAAATTTTTTGCCTATGTGACATGGCTTAAACATTTCCGAGCAGTGTGACATGGCAAAAAAATTTCTTAGCAGTGTGACATGACTCAAACATTTTTCAACAGTGTCACACAGCTAAAAAATTTCCTACCAGTTTGAAACACTTCAAAAATTTCTTACCAGTCTGACACCCTTCAAATATTTCTGACCACTTTCACTTGACTAGGACATTTTTGAACACAATTTATCTACCCAAATATTTCTAGTCACAATATTAGAGGTCAAACATTTTCTATCAAATCCAATGATATATTTTCTTCCAAAGGCCAAAAAAAAACCAGCCAGAGGATCTATTAGCCTGGATAATTTTTCAGGATTTCCTAGCTAATAGCTTGGTCAAGGTGGGTGACTGAAGTGGATGTCAGGGTCTAGCGCGCATGGGAGTAAAGTATCTCCGAGATCTCACCAGCTTTTTCCTTTCGATCTCCATTTTCCGGCGGCGTTCACCCAGCGTCAGGAAACAATCTGGGTGCACAGCAGCAGCAGGAGTGGGTTTTTTTTTGAGAGAGACCTTCGGCATTTAGGATGTGTGAACTTTGGAGAGCGAGAGGGCGATTGTAGTAGTACACGCCAAACCTTATTTTGGTGGCTGCAACTGTATAGTAAATAATCACGCGTAGTTGGGGATGGGTCAAAATGTGTGCATTGACATAGGGGCGTATTAGGACATGTATTGAGATGCTAGATTAATAAACTGTGAGAGGGAGACCCACAGCGCGGTGTTCAGAGTGGTAAGCAAACACGCCTCTACGATACGTGTCTTCAAATTGGGAAGGGGTGTGAACTACGACGGATGCGTGAACATCCTCCAAAAGAGTCAATAGGTTTCAGTACTCGTTGGCAGTCACGTTAGCCGTCCTATACTCGTCGCCGCAACCATAATCTTGAAGGATGTCGGCCAGTGCATCACAGATCTGGGAAATAGATTCCTCCCACATGTGTTCTGCCTCCGTCAATAGGCCGATCGCACCATCAGGGTCACGTATGCATGCCCTGACTATGTCATCGATATATTGAATGACTGAGCCACTGGTAACATTGATGAGATGCACCCGGCGCTCCTCAATGAAGGCTGTCAGCTCTAAGCTGCAGAAGAGAATCTTGGTGACCCTCGTTGAATTTGAATGATACACAGAAAATCCACCTTAATTGACTACTCAACTCGCCTGAGCTAGGTACTTTCTCAGGTTCAGAAGGAACCTGGATCTTCTTCTTTACTTGTTTCTGGTACTGGCGGCACCGCTTCTTGCAAAGGGCATCATGGTTACTATCAAATCGTTCAACTTCCTCATAGCTTTGTCACAGCAAAAGAACGACGCACTTATGGTGAAATTTTCGGGAGGAGCGCCGATGCGCCTCTCGCCTTTCTTCTAGAGTGCTATACAAGCGAGGGCGCCCCATATATGACATTGAAGTAATGGTTGAGTTCAAAGCAAGGGTCAGACCAAACATGGGTACACTTAACTTCAGTCTGATATTTTCATTACTTCATGTGCATTTCATAACCTAATAAAGAGGAAAGTACACTGGAGGAAAGCCCTTAAAAGCGTGATTCCGTAGAGGTCAAAATCATGTTAAACCGTGTCAAGAGGCCCCGGAGCACAGGTGAGAAGCTAAGGACGCCCTGCATAACTACAGTTTTCAAAGCTGAAAGCGAACGACCAATCGTCGTTCGTCTGATATTTACTCTACGAGCCTCCCTGTGCCTCCAAACATAGCCAGATTGTAAGAAACATACCACTGGAGATCCCATGCGAAGTCTTAGCCCATAAGCCTCTGTTTTGAGACCTCCATGGCAGCTTCAAGTTATGTTTTCGCATAATCGGAAATGGCTATTTTGGGCAAGTGCGAGGGAAACATATATGTCCAGCATAAAAATTCTCATCTCTCATTTTGAAACATTGGGCAAGCGTTTAAAGCAGAACACAAGTATATTTTCACCGCACTACGGAACTACCAGACAAATCACAACAAGACTACGGACTACAAAACTAAACGACGGCTATGAACACATGTATCAACACGGCATGAATCAAAAATGCGATTATATCAGAGGCGGCACGCAAAACCTGCCGCAATAGAACTCTCCATCCTCACTCGTCAGTCCTCTGCAGAAGGAATGTGGAAGGAGACAGAAGCCAAGACACAAGTGACGAGGGGGGATGTGTTTTCCCTGAGGTTCGAAAATCAGCGACAGGAAATCAACGAAAAAAGAAGAATACAAACCAACCGACAAATACACCAATATTGTGGCCGCGAGTGACGAGATAGAACGGACCGGAAGCGTCGTCAGGAGGATATTGGTAACTGACCCCGTTAAACATCCTGGTAGTGGATGCGACTGCAGGTGCAGCAATGGAGACAGGTGCCACAGGTACCACAATGACGGGGGATGCTGTGACGGCAGTTGTGCCTGCAGGCGCAACAGCGGGGGGAGCAGTGGCGACGACAGATACTGCAACAGAATCTCTGTTGGATGCTACAGGGGAAGGTCCAACAACAGGTTTCACCGCAACGGTAGATAGGGTAGCGGTAATTAACACACGACCGGCAGTGTCCGCATTTTCATCGCCGCTGTCTTCAGTGGAGACGTTTTGAGGTACGTCGTCGGCATTGATCAAATTGTACGTGTCGTTGTCCAGGCTTGGTTGAGCAGACTTGGTGACGATGTCGGTAAGAGCGTTAAAGAGCTCCTGTAGCTGCGAGGTATTGAGCTGGAGCCGGGAGAGAATGTCTGAGATTTCTAACCATGACGTTGATAAGTATTGAAGGATCGAAACATGAATAACTTACCAGTGACACCGTTAGGAGATGAGGAGCCGGCATTGGTGGGTGAGTGCGGCGCATCATTTCCTAGCAATTGAGTCATGAGGGATAGGGTAAAAAAATGGGGGGAAGGTGGCGTGAAAGGTTGATTGCATTAGACTTGATTGATAGAGTTGAGACGTTGGCGAGATTTGGGTGTCGGATGGGCTTTATACGAGGTCCATCATGCTTCTGGGCTTCCTTCCCACAGTCAAAAAAAAAACTTGAGGCTGAAGAATCAAAAAAACGTACGTAGATTTTATCCCATCGTTCCGCCATCTTTGAGGCAAAAGTTAACCATGGCCGCGAGCAACACTAACGATGGGCAGGGAATGTCGTCGTATGTTTTAACATTTTAGCTTTGTTTTGCTTGTTGATTGTTTTCCAGGAACATTGATGAACAGCGACACGGTATCAATCACTTGGCGCCCCTGCTTACATTGCAGAAAAATTGGGCAAAGGGAGAACACCACACATTCCTCGCCTCGCACCTCGATACCTACAAAGACGTGTGTCTTGTGTCTCGTGTCTTGTGTCTCAGCCACCCAAGCTCTCGATAAAATCATCAACACTTACTTTGTCCGATTCCACTGGTCGCTCCCTCACACATCTCTTCCTGGAGAGCTGCCGACAGTTCGTTTCGATCCCGATGGCTTCGAGATCCTCTCAGCTGAAGAAGCTGCTCACAAGGGCAAAGTTATCGGAGCTATGAAAAAGGTGTGTCTTCGTGAATCAACTCCACTCTAATATACTAATGCTTTAACTCGCTAGACAATCTATAAATGGTACAATCACCGAAACAAAGCCGCTCCCACTCTACCTCGATCCAAGTCCGGCAACAAGGATGATCCCATCGCCATGCTTCTACGTAGATTGCTCAGCAATCCTTCCCCTCCTAAACGCCGTGCAGCCTGGGAAGCCTGGGGTAAAGAGAACTTTCAGTCCTTGAAATCCGACTTCGACGCGAAGTTTGAAGCCACAAACGGGGTCGAGAAAAATCGCGTCAAGGCGTGTAATGAGTTCAAGCGACAAGAGTTCAAAAAACTTAGCGAGGACGAAAAGAAGAAATGGTCGGATCTTGTTCACCTTGAGTGGGAGGACGCAAAGCAGCTCCTCAAGGACCAGGATTCGGTGCCCAAGCTGCTCGATCCAGCCGACGCCCAGAAGTAAGCTTTCTTCCTTCCTTAATTGCGTGAGCACTCATGTCTTTAACAGAGTTCTTGACACACTCCCAAGTATTATGGGCCCATTGATAGAAGGGGTGGGCGAGGCAATTGGGATGCATGTTACAGTCCTTGTTGGGGGACCAGAGCCCAAGAGGCAGGGACAACTCAATAGCTTCAGGTACGTAGGCACAGTTTTCCCCTTGAACCATTTAATAACTGTCATGTATGTAGCATGCACTATGGGGTTGACAAGCAACCGGTCCCAAAAGTTTGGGGTCATGCGGATAAGGCGGGCTTCAAGCTTGTAACAAATGCATTCACCGCATTTCTGGAAACTTGTTATTGTAAGTACGCTCAGTTTTTGTTTAACTCGATTACTCATATTATATTGTCTCAGCACCAGAAGAGCAACGGGTGCGCGCCATGCTGAAAGATTCCCCTCAAGATGACCAAACACATCCCACAAACTCACCGTCTGATAGCTCTCAAGCGCCCCCCACTTCTGTCCAACCGCCCAGCCGCCCCAGCGCATCGAAGTCCTCAGAGTCGGTGTTAAGCACACACGTTGGCGGAAAACATAAGCGAAGCGTCAAAGCAAAAGATGGGAAGGGAAAGAAGCAAAAGAAGCAAAAGAAGAAACGTGTGTTTGTGGTGTCCTACGATGACAACGAGGACAACGATGAGGAGGAGGAGGAGGATGACGACGACGACAAAGAAAATGCGGGCAACAATAACAGGCTGAAAAGCCTCAATCCGAACACGATCACGCCATTCGAAGAACCTTCAACTTTGACAGATGGGCCAACGGTAGCCATGCCTCATCCTCCCGCTCAATCAGCCCAGCTCGACCAATTCCAGTTTGACCAATCTGTGCCACGTTCGCCCCTCGCGCCTTCTGGTACACCATTATCTGGCCCAGTAGGAACCGCCATTGGTACTCCTCAATTAGCTCCTAAACCCCCACTTCCCCTTGATCCCAGTTGGCCAGCCTGGTTTCAGAAGGCATATACCAACTTATCGTTGACTTTTCTCAGTCCGGAACTCACGAGCGCCATCCAGATTTATGTGGGTATCAAAAAGGAAGCCGGCTTCATGGTCGGGTCACCCAACGCCGGGTTCAAAGTCGACAACCGGCCGCCGGAGGTTGCTTTTTGGGTTGGCCGTGGTCGCAAGTCAGTGCCATTGTTTGAGGCAGGTTGGTGGAAGTGGTGGAAGGGCCTCCAGCCGAAATGGCGGTCCGCCGTCGAGGTAGAAGGTCCACTGACGGCCACGCACCGTGAAGTAACCGATGGTGAGGGTGGCTGGGCAAGTGTTGATAAACACGGGCAGAACGCGTTTTTAACTGTTCTGTCCTGCCTGGTATGGTGGGGCACGGCCTTGAATGGCCACCAGGGAGAGAGTGCAGCGTGGACGGCTGCAGTGGACAATACTTTCCATTCCTCCACTGATTCCTACCGGATTCCGCGGATTCCGGCCGGAATTGACAGGAATCCGACTGGAATAGACAGAAATTTCAGTACAGATCTATACTTCTCGATTCCCCCTACAATTCCACTTTAGCTAGATGTCATATGACTTAATCTGCACTTATCAAGACCTCCTGAATTACTTGTGTAATGCAGTCAGTCAATCTATTATTCTATTCTATGCTGATAACTTAAACTTAGAAATTGCTTATGATATTCAAATTTGAACATAAGTAATTCAGGTGTATTCACTAGTACTACATGAGATTATTCTACTACAAAATTATCTTACTACATAGAGTGTTAAAGGGAGGGGGGAGGGATGGAGGGGAGGGGGAGAGGGGTGAAGGAGAGAGGGGTGATGGGAGAGGGAGTGATGGGGAGAGGTGGTGGGGAGTGATGGAGGAGGGAGGGAGTGATGGAGGAGGGAGGGAGTGATGGAGGGGAGGGAGTGATGGAGGGGAGGGAGTGATGGAGGGGAGGGAGTGAAAGAGGGGGGGGAATGGAGAGAGAGGGGGCATGGAGGGAGGGAAGAGGGACAGAGGGAGGGAAGAAGGATGGAGGGAGGGAAGGAGGGAGGGAGGGAAGAGAGGGAGGGTGGATGGAGTGGTGGGGACTGATGGAGGGGGGAGAGTGTGGTGGGGAGTACTTGGCCTCGTCGCTGTTCGTCGGCCTGTGCTTTACGTCATTCCTGTCGTGTCTTCGTTGACGTGCTCGCCGTCGTCCGCTGATGTCGTCTTCGTCGGCCATTGATGTGGGCGTTGTCTGCTGACGTCGTCATCGTCCGCTTATGTGGTCGTTTTCCGCTGACGTGGGCGTCGTCGTCCGCTGACGTCGCCGTCGTTGTCCGTTGACGTGGGCGTCGTCTGTTGATGTGGTGGCGGTCTGTTGACGTGGTGGTGCGTGGGTCGTCTGTTCGCGTGGCCCTCCGTTGACGTGGTGGGGCGCTGACGTGCTGTCCGTCCCTCATTGTGGGCGTGGTCGTCGTTGCGTTGCATTGTCGTTGTCGCGTTGCGTTGTCGTTGTCGCGTTGTCGTTGTCGCGTTGCGTCGCCGTCGTGTCGCGTTGCCGGTCGTGTCGCGTTCTTGTTGTCGTGTCGCGTGGTCGCGTCGTTGTTGTGTCGCGTCGTTGTTGGGTTGTCGTTGGGTCGCGTTTTGGTGAGTGTTAGTGGGGTGGGTTGGGATGGAGGAGGGGGGGGACTCACCTCTGAATGACGACGAACGATGTCGTCGTCGTCGTTCGTCGTTTGGTTGCCACGTCGCTGATAGCGACGTGGCATCAGTGACGTGGCGTTCCCGTGTTTGGTGGTCGTGGTTGCCGGTTGACGAGCGTTGTGGGTGGTGGTGACCACGGGTGATGGTGGTGACGTGGCGATGGGTGGGCGTCGTCGACGATGGTGGTGGTTGAGATGAGAGAGTGGGTTGTTTGTTTCTAATGCCCAAATCAAGCGTCGGCAAACGCCGACGCTTGATTTGGGCATCAGAAATTCCTTTCCGTCTCATTCCGTGGCTATTCCTTCCGGGTGATCACCAGAATTGTTTGATCAATTTGGCAGGGCCCTCTGCCAAATTTGATTCCTCCGGAATTCCAGGAATTCCCCAGATTCCGCCGGATTCCGGCAGGAATCAGTGGAGGACAATAAAGACCTCGCAGTGGACGATGTTCACTGGGTGCTCACGAATCTTGCAAGGTATGTTTTGTATAATATCCTCAGGCTCTCACTCATGCGCCGTCCAGCCTTCCAAAACCTCAAGATGCTAAGCGCGCCTCGCCATCAGCAGCCACGTCGCCACCCTCAAAGCGGCGACGCAAGTAGTAAATTTGTTATATAAGGTTGGTCCGGCAACGTAGTTAACATCCTCATTGCGTGTTGGTACGATTTGACTTATTCAATCTCTTATTACCTTTTGTCTTGTCTTGTATTTCTTGTGTAGAGCATCTGTTGTATTTCTTGTATTTCTTGTAAAATTCACTCTTCATGGTGTACAGACTCGTAGATATCATATACTAAGTAATTTAGTCTGTGTAGAGGAAACTTGTAAGCATGAGGTTAAGAAGACACGTGACCAGACACGTCGTGGTGTTGAAGTCGCGTTCAACTCCAACAACGGGAGATTGATGCGTGTTGAGTCGCAAAGAGTGGCCGTCGACTAATCGACGCATTCCGTGGACACATCGGCACAATGTTACACTGACAGATATAAATCATGACGGAAGTGGACAACTGATGGAAAGAAGCAAACAGAACATATGAAGATTGATGGATGGCAACACACGGAAATCATATCAACACGAGGAATTGATGGGAGGAAGCACAGAAATCATATGAAGATGAACAAAAATAGATTATTGATGGATGGTAACATACGGAAATCATATCAACAAGAAATTGATGGGAGGAAGCACAGAAAATATATAAAAATAGATTATTGATGGATGGTAACACACGGAAATCATATCAACACAAGGAATTGATGGGAGGAAGCACAGAAATCATATGAAGATGAACAAAAATAGATTATTGATGGATGGCAACACACGGAAATCATATCAACGCAAGGAACTGATGGGAGGAAGCAATATCAATCCTGAATCAATTATATCTGATGCCAAATATTGACATTTCACCAAAAAAAACCAAATTTTCACCCTGTGGTGCAATTTTTTAAGGGCAAGCGGAATGCAAGGAGAAGTAGACAAAGGACATTGCACATCAGTTGGCAAATGGTGTGCAAGAAAAATGCACACCTTGTAGGGCTAGGACAGCATCTATGGCTGCCAGCACTCAGACGACGACGACACAATGCCCAAAATGCCCATTCCCATCGACGAAGCGACAACGACATGCCCAGTCCCAGCCCCAGCACCCGGACGACGACGACATCGGCGAGGCGACATCCACTAAGCGACCGCCCACGCCAGTACCACAATCTGCAAATAATAACAGGCCACCACTAGTAGCTGCCATTTACATCATGTAAAACCTGGCATGTACCATAGAAGTTCCTGCTTAACTGCCGTGAATGAAATGAAATGAATTTTCATTCATTCATGGCACCTGTTTCATTCCAAGTCATTCTCATTCATTGCCGTCGAGAATGAAATACTTTTTGTTTCATTTCATTTCATCTCAATTTTTTCTTCATTTCTACTGACAAGAATGCAATTTATTCTGTTTCATTCATGCCTGGCGACTCTTTCATTTTTTTAATTTCATTCCACCATGGCAACTGTTTCATTTTTTGCTTTATTCTTTTGTTTCATTCATTCCTGGCAACTGTTTCATTTTTTTCATTCATTCATTGCCATGGAATTTTCATTTCATTCTTTCCAGGCAGTTATTTCATTTTTGTTTCATTCTTTCAGGCAACAATTTCGATGTTTTAACACACATCTAAATAAGGAAATAATATACAATTATGCCTGATATGTGTTGTGCCCTACTGCAGTGGTGTGGGAGGCCATATGGGGGTACTTTTGCATTTGAGGCTCAAATACACAATGAGATAGGCATGCTGTTGCCAAATAAGGCACTTAAATATTTTGTATCAATTACATAATCATTTTCCCAGCTCTAACAATGAAATAGGCACCTGAGAAGAATGAAGCAAGGAATGAAACAGTTGCCCTGGTGGAATGAAAGAAAAAAATGAAACAGTCGCCAGGAATGAATGAAACAGAATAAATTATCTAGAATGAAACAGGTGCCGTGAATGACAGCTGAAAGCAGAACGATAGGCCATGCCAGATCGACACATACATAGGGCGGACTCTCAACTTTTATTGTGGTACTAGCGTGACATCAATTCGGAGGTTGAAATTTAACACGTTGTGAGAACTCAGCAGTCCCAGCCATCACGTCGCTTTGAAATTTTGGGAGTCCGCCCTGAACATGTGTCGATCTGCCGTGGCCTATCGTTCTGCTTTCAGCTGGAATGAAAATTCATTTCATTTCATTCACGGTAGCTAAGCAGGAACTTCTATGGTACAGCTCAGGAGTACATGATGTAAGTGGTAGCTACCAGTCAGGCCACGAGTGCCCACCACCCACGGACGGCGACAAGTCATGAATACTCACCATCCACAGAGGGGAACAAGTGCCCACCATCACTACAGGACACGGTAAGTAGCCCCCTTCTCACATTCCTCTCAACCCACCCTGCTGAAACGTCAGGGCATGCATACGTGACCCTGATGGTGCGATCGGCCTATTGACGGAGGCAGAACACATGTGGGAGGAATCTATTTCCCAGATCTGTGATGCACTGGCCGACATCCTTCAAGATTATGGTTGCGGCGACGAGTATAGGACGGCTAACGTGACTGCCAACGAGTACCGAAACCTATTGACTCTTTTGGAGGATGTTCACGCATCCGTCGTAGTTCACACCCCTTCCCAATTTGAAGACACGTATCGTAGAGGCGTGTTTGCTTACCACTCTGAACACCGCGCTGTGGGTCTCCCTCTCACAGTTTATTAATCTAGCATCTCAATACATGTCCTAATATGCCCCTATGTCAATGCACACATTTTGACCCATCCCCAACTACGCGTGATTATTTACTATACAGTTGCAGCCACCAAAATAAGGTTTGGCGTGTACTACTACAATCGCCCTCTCGCTCTCCAAAGTTCACACATCCTAAATGCCAAAGGTCTCTCTCAAAAAAAAACCCGCTCCTGCTGCTGCTGTGCACCCAGATTGTTTCCTGACACTGGGTGAACGCCGCCGGAAAATGGAGATCGAAAGGAAAAAGCTGGTGAGATCTCAGAGATACTTTACTCCCATGCACGCTAGACCCTGACATCGTGATCGATCTCCCTAGATTGTCGAGCCAACGCCAAGGGCTCCATCCACCAGCGACGTCAAGCATGCCTTGAAAGCCAAACAAGATCGTGTCTTGCGCCTGCTCCAGCCTAGCTTTGCCTCTGCTGTCAGCGAGGGTGAAGCGGAGGAATATCTCAAGAAAGCATACCTTGTTTGGTTTCTTTGCTTTCCTGAGGTAGAGCCGGAAATTAAGGTCGAAGAATCATTCAGAGATGACCCGACTTACGAAACGCACATCATCAAGGCTCGCGAAAAGGTTTGTGTT